CCTCTACAGAGGTGGAAGCTGACTTCATCAACATAAATTAAAACATGATGTGCCCAATTAGCTTTAAGCTCTATGATTGGCTAAAGAAAAAAGAAAGCAAAATCACAATTACATAAAAGTAACTGCAGTTGACAGTAACTGCATTATATGCCAGGGCATAAAAGTATAGTACTGCAAATTCTCCGTATATTGATCTGCTTCACAGCATCATGCTCACAGTATACTTTACTAAATACGCCCTGATCTACAACGCTGCTTCCTGGATTTCAAGCAGCCTAATGACATTATTTACCTGAACCAATGGCTGCCGCCTCCTCAGCATTCAAAGTTCTGTGTCTAAAACCACCAACCTGTAGCCTTTCAGTCCTATAAAGAATACATAAAATGTCGAAAGAATTGCATGATATACAGTATCTTACTACAGCTATATCTGCACATACTGTATAGCAACATTACCTGTTCTCCAGTCAAAAAACTTTCAATTGATCCAACCGTGTTTCTGTTGAGAAGAGGTTGGACTCTTTGTCTAGCCTCTTTAAGTGAAAGGCCATGATTTACTGTATCATCAAGCTACACCTCCAATTCACACACAGACTTCTCTTCCCCTGACTCCTTTTCCCCTGAGCCCTCTACCTCTAACTCTGACTCTCATCTGTCTAGACAATCCATGCTTGCAAAGAAGAAAACAAAACATATCACCTTCAAAGCCATACAGACTGATTGGAAATAAAAAAAGTTGTGTTAAGAAGTGTAAAACAGCTTCAGATATTTCATACCGATCAAAAAGTCTATGAGAGATGTGAAGATATGGTGTCTGTTTGGCTACCTTTGCTAAAGCAATGGAGTTTGGACTGCCTGAATGACATCTGTGTTAACTGTTTTCCAAAAGGGTGGGGAAAATGTGTCAAAGCAATGAGCAAGGGTGTCGTTTGCTCTGCTGAGATGGTGATGATGAAGACTGAGAGGTTGCCAGTTGCCAGAGGAGAGGAGAGGAGTTCAGATAAATCCCCTGCTTTCCACATTTGCTATTAGTGGCACTGTTGTTACAGAGTCATTAGAGTAAAGGCCAAGCAGTGGTGGATAGCTAACACGTCTTTGTACAGCGCCACAAGTAGCTGCCATCACAGGGGAGTAGGTTTTATCATAGCTAACCAGCTGCTGCCTGTCAATGAGGAAGGATTGTAAGTAGTACATTAAATATGGATCAACCCACATTTGGTCAATTTAATAGAAAAAAATAATTAATTGTATTAGATTCAAATGAAAAATCTTTTATTATATCTAAAGTTTAAGGACTGAAGTAATAAAACTGCGCTTTTGCCAGTTGCAAGCAAAAGATTTGTGAAGATTTGTCTGCATTGTAAAAAGCATACTTTCTAACTAAACTATAATTGTTGACCATAACTGCAAATAACATGTACGGTAGTAGCCATTTAAACTTTTTCCACTTTCCTTGATGGGCCCTTGGCTGGTCCTCTATAATTCCTTTTTAAACATCAATGTTTGTACTAAAATGTTCTTCCTGTCATAATTTCTGGACATTAAGATCTAAAGAGAAGCATCACCTCCTGGTCAGACCCTGTAATTCTGTGAAAGGGTGGAGTCAGAGTAAACAAATATGCAAGAGGGGGTCACTCCAGTGGCTGCTACTGTATTCCTGTTTGATGCAAGCCAACAGAATAAAGTTGTTGGTAGCCATACATTTAAAGGCTTGTGAAATTTTCAGATTGTAGAAAAGGTCATTTACTTGCTGCAAATTGTGGGAATGTTGGAATTGTATCCCTGTATGTGCTCCTCCACAGCTGTGAGGATTAAAGCTTATATCTGTTATGTGTTTGTTGTCCTGTAGATGTGGAACACACAAAGACATCTTATTCCTCTGGATACAGAAATGGTGGGTAACCCTTTGAAAGGGTGCCCAAGAAAGCTGCAGAGTAAAGGCAAATAACATAGTCTTTAGAAGATATGATGCAGTAATGGTCCCTTGACTCCCTTTTTCTTTCTTTATATATTTTCATTATTTGTGTCCAAGGGAGAGGCCACCTTAACTTTTAAATATTTTTTTTCCCTAAATAATGACTTGTCAAAATGGAAACTCATAAATCATAAAAGCTTAGGATGGCAAATGGCTCTGAAAGAGCACAGATTGCAGTTACTAATCAGTTCATATGGTAACTCAGGCATAGAAAATAACTATTGAAAGAGTCTCTAAATGATTTCCACATCAATAGTTGTTTTCTGATGATTTTATAAAAGTGCATTAAATTGATGAATAAATGAAAGAGAAAATGTTTCCCCAGGCAATTATAACATAGGTGCTTTCTTCTATTTTCCATTCTTCTTGTTTTTAAATAAATTTATTCTATCCAGTGGTCTTCATTTGGATTCAGTTATTTGGTTATAGTAAATCAGTAAAAGGTTTTTTTACAACTCAACTCAAAATCTTCATTTTAAAAGACAATAAATTGTGTTTATTTCTCTCCAGAAACAAAAAAAAAATGCAATAAAATCTTCAATTAGAATTTTAGAAAGCAATGCCATAATTTATGGGAAATTTGTCAAGCTATAACTTGGTTTGGATATGAGAAAAAAAAGGGCACTGCTAAGGCTAATGTTTAACTAGCAGTTGCATCAGTACTTAAAGAGGAAATAGATACATTTAAATAAACGTTAAAAATATAAAGTAGTCTGTGTTGGAGTTTGAGGTGCATTTGTGGCGATTTTTTTGTCATCCATATTTAAAAACAGTTGCATTTGTTCTCCGTTTAATGAGTCGATGGCAGCAGGGACTCAAAGTGGCCAAGTACATGCAAGATAGCACAGTTCCTTCAATTGATTTCACAAGATGTAAAATCATCATTCAAACTACCGACTTTTTTTTCTTCCAGTATTTAACGACAGTAGTGGCTCGTTTTTTTATGAACAGTAGGCTGACAGGAAAGGGGGATGAGAGAGGGGGAGAGAACCATAGGCCGGATTCAAATCCGCACCAAGGACTGAGGCCCCCATACATGGGTCGTGTGTGCTAACCACTACGCCACCAAAGCACGCCCAACTGTTGTTGTTTTTTTTTTTTTAACAGGAAATGACCCTGGAACCTTACAAAACATGGTAGGACAATAAACAATGATTAGAGATGACTGTAACATTACACTTACATTGCCACTAAAAATGTAATTTTCAAAATTTGAAGAAAAAGCTTTTGATGGCACTATAGCAATCAAATGTGTATCACATTAATGAACAATCTTCTTGCATATTCCCAATACAATTTTTCAACATTTCATCTGTTATCATAAACTCTAATCTTCAAGCTTAAAAGGACTTATATCCATCACCCTAATCTCCAGATCGCTCTACAACTTCTCTTTGAAATCGAGTTTTTATTCTGGGAACAGCTTGGTGTTCTGCTGTTGTACCATTCTATATGCTGCCTGGACAACTTGCAGCACATTCTCATCCCAACTCATCAAATATTTACTTGATCAAGCCCCCTGTGTGTCACATACTGATGCTGCGGGGGTACCCCTAGTGCTACGTATTGACAAACAGCGTGCATGACAGGTTGTACTGTAGACATGCAAGTGACCTGCGACAAAAAATGTGGCTTATTTCAGATTGTTCAGATTGAAGATTATGTAATATTTTGCAAGTTCCTTCCTCAACCTACCATACACCTAGCATGTCAGTGAATGATGAGAAGGGTAAACGCGTTGTGTCAGTATCTGACCCTCTGAGGGCGTTATTACTATGTGTCAATTTTTAATGAGCTGGGAGTGAGACTGCCTTTGCCTGGGATGCAGCATGAAGAACAGAGGAGAGCATGCTGGTCCTGATACTCTACAAACTTTGTATATCTGCATTGCTTTGCTCCTAGATCATTAACTTCCTCACTAACAGGGTCCAGGTGGTGACATTCCCATCTACCCATCTGATCCTCAACACTGGCATCCCACAGGGATTTGTTTTCAGGCCTTCCTTCTTCGCTTTCTTTACACGTTATTTTTCTGCATGGAGGATTCTCCTATGTCTTATATATCTGACCTTTCTGTAATATTTTTTTCCTTTTATGTTTGTGATGTAATATTCTACTTAATGTTGTGTTTTCATTAGCTTTTACTACAAAATCATCACAATTAAAAGAAATAAACACCTGAAAATGTCTGTTTTTAGTTAGTCTATATGTCGTTTGATACTTTGCTTACAGACTTACTGAAATTATTTAACTTTTAAATTCAAATTTAAATTACTCGATATCACTTTATGCAAAGAAACTACACAAAAAAGAGATGCTGACAACATGGCATAATAACCAAAGAGAAAACGTAATTATTAGAGCATTTCATACGTAATATGCTGTTTTAAATGTACATTTCAGACATAATCTTTGAGAAAGAGTATTTCTGCCCTTAAGTTTCAAACCTTGAGCTGTACACCCAAAGCAAAGGCTAAATGTTGACAGCTGCATTCTTTTCTTTTTTTAAAGTCAAGAAACTACAGTACAAATCAAGCCTGGAAGCAGATTGCTTTGACTATGACACATTAAAAATCTGATTAAGTTCAGGGCTTCATGTTACCAGAATATTTTCATATTTTTTTACTGATAAAGTAGTAAAGAGACATGGGATCTCCTCTGACAGCCTCTATTAGAAACTCCCATCCAGCCTCATGGAGAAGTTTTAGTGAATACTGTTTTAGTGATATATTTGTTGGTGGCATGTCCATGATTTGTCATTTCAAAATAACTTTGTGTTACATCATTTCTATGTGGAGTAATATTGCAGCTACCAATCAAAATGTGTCTTTGCAACAACTTATCTGGGTAATAAATAAAAGCTATTAATTTCCACCCTCACAAAGAAAAAGAAATTGGAAGCTGCTAAGTTACACGTCAGGTTTTTCACTAAGAAATTGAACATAAAAGTGTAAATCATAACAGATATTTTTTTCAAAGGGACAAAGACCTGCACTTTTTAATTTCCTGTGTTTTTCTTGAACAGGGGAGGACCACACACTCCGCATCCTGCTCTACTCGCTTATCTTCTTTTCGAGTGTATTTGGCAACCTACTGATTATCGTGGTGCTCACATTCAACAAGCGCATGCGCACTGTCACCAACACCTTCCTGTTGTCACTTGCCATGAGTGACCTGATGATGGCCATATTCTGCATGCCTTTCAACTTGATCCCCAGCATTCTCAAAGACTTCATTTTTGGGGCTTTGATGTGCAAGATAGTGGCCTATCTCATGGGTGAGTAACAAAAGCACTGGGGGAATGGGTCTACTGTTGGGGGTTAGATGGGGGAATTTCTGTGTGTTGTCTAAGTCTTTATTTTAGTCATAGGATCTGATTAAAACTCACACACCCACACATTCTGGTTTAACTGTTTAACTTCTGTCATTGCATTGACCCTGACTTACACCAACTGTGATTAATCAAAGAAGCATCCATTAAATTCAATAAGAGCTGCAGAGATCCACAGCTCAAATGGGGGAACCTGATGGTGCAATGTTACAACTATTGTCTAGCAATCTGGTCTGTCCACACGAAGGTTAAAAACAAAGCAATTGTATAACCTGCATGTATTTTGCAAAACATCATATAGGAGGCAATTTTGTCCTGTTCAACTAAGAAAAAAACTAATTTTATTGACCTATAAAATAGGGTTGTCACGATACTAAACTTTTCAACTCGATACCGATACTAAGGAAAATATTCGATACTCGATACCATTTTCGATACCCCAAGGATAAAAACAAAGACTCCAAAATTCAACAGAAATATTTTCATTAAAAATAAAATACAATAAATAAATAAATATAATAAACAATAAGAACAATATTTTGAGGTTGTATGCTGTGCACAATATTAAGCAAGCTTGATAAAAAACTTACAAAATTAAAATTAAGTGTTCCTTCCTTGGCTATGCTTTGCACAAATAATGACACTAGCCAAACCGGTTAAGAAACAAAAATAATTAGCTGCACCTGTTACAAAAAAGTGTGAAACTGAAAAGTGCACAGAATTATTCAATTACACAGTGTTCAGAAAGTGCATTTCCCTCTGTTCTGCACTTTAGATGAATGAAGGTTTAGGTGCCACTGGTGGTAGCACTGTATCGATACTTTTTGAAAATGAGTATTGTATCCGGATACAACGTTTCAGTATCAATAGTTTTTTTGAGTATCGATACTTTTGACAACCCTACTCTAAAATAACCTCAAACCATTCATTGTTTTTCTTTGGGAAAATACAAAAAGTTAACTTGAGATAAGAGACATACAAGGTATCTTTAACTGAAGTATACACATATTTTCTCTTAAAATTCTAATTGCTTTCCTAATGGAAAATATTTTTTTTTTTATATAAATCTTTCTGGCCCTTAAATACATTTTCTGTGAGGGTTGATAAAGCTGAAAAATGAGTGATGCACATATGACAATCACATTCTGTTGGCAAAAGTAATGAAATAGAAAGCAATTATACTTTTTAATTCCCTTAAGACATTTAATCAATTACCCAAAAGCTTCTTAAATAGAGATAGACTGTCTTTACAATTACAATATAGAAGATAATCTAGAAGAGAATCTATTCAGGTCTGTTATGGTGGCTTCATATAAACTTAGAGTATTTTTAATAATCAGAGCTGTAGATTTGTCTGTTCTCCCATAAAACAAAAAATAAATTCCCTGGCCACTGCTTGTGGAGATGAGTGTTGGAACTATGCCAGGTTTGGGTCTTTTGACTAAGGCTTTGATGTATTTGGTTGTGAAAGCTTGTTACACTGACCAAAGTCAACTACTCAAAGCACAGAGTGGCTGAGTTCCAGCCATCTAGATGTGTTGGCATTAAATCTATCATTGAGAATATTCTAATAAGGCAACAGCTGGTGGTGAAGCACCATCTAAGCAGCAGAAATGTTACTGTAAATCATATTACACTACAACTTCACCTGTCACAGCAAAGCAAAGAAACGGCAGCTGTTATAGCATAAATCAACTGCATTAACACTGGGTAAAGAGTGCCAACAAATACCTCCAACTATAATGTGATTAGACTGATGTAGAAAATATTACACTGTCTTCAAAATAAACAATTTAAATTATGGCTGCAAATTAATGAAATGCTGAAATTCCTCAGCACACGTTAAACTTCATAAAACTTTTATTTTTGTATCAAACAGTTAACACAAGCCATCATGTTAATAAGCACTCAATATGCCAACTACACACTGATGGTATAAATAAAAAATACATCTGGCTTTGGCTTTCTATGTGCACAAGGAAGCCTACATCACTTCAAGGTCATACTTTTGTCAAAGTTCCATAAACATACAGGGATCCAAACTTCAACTATTGGTGTTTAAACATATCCAAACAAACACGTTTTTTTTTTTTTCCTAAGTCAGACACAAAATCACAGAGAAAAAAAAAAAAAAATCAGTCGACATCTTGTCGCCTCTCTGGGTCAGGCCAAAAGACTTTCTCCACATCACGATGTCCTCTTTGTCCAAAGCACAAGGGAAAATATCTCCTGGAATGCTGTTTTCAGGCCTGACATGATGCCTTGCTAATATCCCCACATGCGTCATTCATTGCCTGTAAAAGGGCTAAGCATTGATGGGGACGATGGTCAAAGACCTTTCAGCGCCAGGTAGAGAAGAACTCTTTGATTGAATTCAAGAATGGAGAATGTGGGGGGAGGTTGAGTGCAGTGAGGAGTGGGTGATCTGTAAACCAGTTGTGGACCAAAGTACCCCTATTGTTGATAATTTGGAAATTGAGTGAAAAGCAATGAGTTGTGTTTACAGTTTCACAAAAAAAAGTTGCTATGCAGTGAATTGTACCTGTGCAAAGCAGTGTTTGTGCTTCTAGTTTTGCAAACTCAGTGAGTAGTTTTTCTATAAGTATTAATAGAAAAACAATATCACAACTTAGTTATGGTATGGTTCAGGCTATTCTACTTAATTTACCGACAACATTTTATGAAGAGATAGCATATAATCCATCCATATTCTCCCACTTATTCTGCCAGGGTCATGTTGGGGTTGGTTTCTATCTACAGCAGTCAATGAGAGTGATGCAGGGTACACCCTGGACAGGGTGCCATTTTGTCGCAGGGCAACACAGACACACGGAGAGACATACAACCATGCACAGAAACACTCACACCTTAGGACAATCCAATGTTGCCAGTTAACCTAACAGTCGTGTTTTGGATTGTGGAAGGAAGACGGAGAACCCAAAGAGAACCTGTGCATTTTGTTTGACTTAGGTTAGCATTTCCTTTAGACTAAGAAAACATGTTTCAGATATCAGGAATACATATTCAGTAAAACTAGTACATATCAAAATGTTGTTACCGTGAAAATATTACGGGATTATTTCTCGAATGGTAGAAGATCAATGTACCTATTTAGGTGAAATATTTTGGCAGCAGTGGCTGTTTGCAGCCGCCCTTCGGATATTATCATCCAAATAAATGGCCGTTATAAGAGGCTATCAGTCCCATAGAATTTTTTTTATGCACAAAACTATGACAAAAATTGTACTAAATCAGGAAATAAAACAACGCAATTGGCTGTAGGGAGAGGAGATAGAAGACACTCCGTGTTTACTGAAGAAGTAAACTCGTAGAACTGCTACTGACCAGGTTACAGTAGCTTTGGGGAGAATGTTACTATGGTGACTGAAACAGGTTGAGGAAACACTCTCTGTGAAACGGAAAAATCTGAGTTTCACTGTTTTCAGGTTAAGACAACTTCTAAAACTTCTTTCTGAAACAGACCCCAGAGAGCAAAATAAAGCCTAATAGAGACATTTTTCTAATTATCCACTGAAGCTGTTAACCTTCATTTTGAGGTGTAAACAATAAGAAGCACCTTTGGGTATTTTTTTTCCCTGAGCCTCCCTGCCACCACCATGGTTCCACCTCCCTATCCTAAACATAAAGCTTATATTGTCACAGAGGACATGGATAAGCGAGGTAAAGAGTAATTTCCTGTCTTGTCCTTTGAGACTGAAAATGGAAGATCATATCACCAGCAGTTCAGCAGCATGATGTTCTTCAACATGGCATTCGAATATCTACTAAATTTTTTACATTGTCACTCTCTTTCCTTCATCAGTGGCTGCACAACACTGAGCCTGGTTGTGTTGACAGATATTTAAAAATTAATAATTTTTTTTCTTCTGACTCTTTGTAAGTCTGAGCCCTATTCTTAGTCTTATATTATAGTTGTTTTATTGCCTTATGAAAAGGTGATGACATTTGATCACCTGTGGTAAAATGCTAATTTTCTCAGCTTTTTATACAACATCTTTTTTTTTCTCCAACAGGCACCTCAGTGAGCATTTCCACTTTTAACCTGGTTGCCATAGCCATTGAGCGCTACAGTGCCATCTGCAAGCCTCTGAAGTCACGGGCATGGCAGACCCGTTCCCATGCATATCGGGTGATTGCTGCTACATGGGTACTGGCCTTCATCATCATGATCCCCTACCCAATTATCAGTCACCTCAGACCATTTAAACGCCCTGATAACACCACTGCACACCAATGCCGCCACAAGTGGCCCCTTGCAACAGCGGAGCAGACCTGGTGAGTGTTATTGGTCTAAACGAGGGGTGTCAAACTCAAGTCCTCGAGGGCCGATGTCCTGCAATTTTTGGATTCATCTCTAGTCTAACATACCTGAATCAAAGGATTAAATTACTTCCTTAGTATGCAGACAAATTATGCCTATCAGTCCTGCTAATGACTGTATTATTTGATTCAGGTGTGTTAAAGCAGATACATATCTAAGATGACATATTCTATTATGATCCATTATACTTAAAACAAAATGTTAACAGGCAGGCCCATTGGTCCATCTTCATGTATTTGGTTTACGATAACACAAATGGTTCCAATATTTTACTTCAATTCCAGTTACAGTGGTCCATGTTCTGTTGTGTTGAATTTGTTTAGAGGAACTGCAATAAGTATGGTAGACAAGAAACACAAAATGAGAGGGTAATTACAACACGCAGGCATGCAGGTGCATGCAGATGGGGATTTTGGCACTCCATTGGGGTTTACAATATTGGGAGAAGTAATGAGATGTAATTAGAAATTATAAATGCCTATTACCACTTCAATAAAAGCAAACAACTCTTTATTAAGTGGAATTTTCTGTGTGGTTGTAGCTCTTGCAAGAGCAGCAGATGAGTTACTTAAAATTAGATGTGTTATTTGTTTCCAATTAAGATGTAGATGACAGTTTTTATATTTGTCTACTATAAAATGGTATAAAAGTCTGTCTTTTCCTTTTCCTACTTTCTTAGTTGTTTGTCTAACTTTTAAATTTGTCTTTTGTAGGTATGTGTTACTTCTGCTTGTGCTGTTCGCAATTCCAGGAGTTGTTATGATTGTCGCTTATGGACTGATCTCTAGGGAACTTTATAGAGGCATCCAATTTGAGACCGGCCTTAAAAAAGACTCCACTGGTAATGTATTTTAATGCGCAACATATTTGTTATAAATCTTTTAAAATGAACTGAAAAATAAATGGCTTAATGTTAAAGAAAAAAATGTAACGTTTTAGGTCAAAATGTCTGATAATAAAATCAAAATTCCAAATAGTTGAGATTCAGTAAAGTGGATATTTATTTGAAAAGCATTTAATTGTGCTTCACACACCATGTTATTCCAAGTTTAATATATAGTTTCTAAACATGATTGTTCACAAGAGGATGTAAAATGGGGGTTAAAACATTATTTTACAAAAGATAAAATGAAAATACTTTACCTTACATGCCTAAGCAAGTTTACGCCATTTGTTAAGCTACAACTTACTCAATCTCTTTTAAAAGGTTTCCTCTTAGGTTAAATTTTCTGGCAATTCAAAGTTAATAAATAAGTAATAAAAACAACAAACCTGTTTACAAACTGTTTTTTTGTTTTAAGAAACATATAGATAAAATTCAGATTTTCCAGAAAACCTAATAGATTATAACATATCATCTTTTTATCTATTACATGATTTTTCCAAATGTAGTATATTTATTTCACATTAGTTAAGTACAGCTTTCTCAGAGTCTGACTTAATGTAATTATTAGTAGGAGGATACAATGGAACACTAAGCAAAACATATAAGAGCATTTTAGTTTGGTGGATAGTTTTTTGCTTCTTTGTAATTAGACTTGTCCTGTTGTCCTCGGATAATGTAACTGCTTTCCCTATAATTTCTCCAGAACAGTTTTGAAGCATCACTCCTGGTCTGGTCTGATCAATCTTCTTTTTCTTTCTGGGCTCTCCAGATCCCTCTCATTTTCCTAAATGTTCTGCTGGTGATGTATTCCTATTCTAACCCTGAAAAATATAAAATCTTCATCCCTTGGCTGGACTGGCCATTTATCCTTCATTCTGGACATCATGGACCCTACATATCCCCAAATCTTTATGAGAAACTTATTCAAGTGATCACTAGGCTTGTACTCCTATACTAACCCTGAAAATACACACCTTCGTCCCCTGGCCAGATATAACTTCTTCTTTTTTCTTCTTGGAACTGGGCAGATTCTCTTTCTAGCTCATCATGGTCAACCTCGAATCCTCCCTATACTATCCCTGAAAAAATAACATCTTTGCCCCCTGGCCAGGCTTTCGTTTCTTCTTTCTTCATTCCATCAGAGGTCTGGTTATTCGTCTTTCCCTTTGGCTATTCCTCAGGTGATGTGGTTGAGCTGGGGAGCAGGCCCCCCTGCCTGTGTTCTGTGATCAAGGATCTAAGCAGGAGTGTTGCAGCCGAGATGCAGATTTGACCAGATGGGCAAAAACATGTTCCTTTAAACCTATACATAAACAGGAATCCATCTTCTTGACCAATAGGACACTATAGTACCTTTTAGGGACTTTGAATTACCAGGCTCATTGTCCAGGCCATACAGGCTATATTTGGTCTGCCGGTCACCCTACAACCAGCCCAGTCTAAACATCAACCACTTCCTAATCATTCCCTTCTTATATGAACAGTCTTAACATTTAACAATCACAAATTTTACTATTATCATAATTTATTGATTATTATTTTTGTGTGTCGATATAACCAGATCTTCTTACAACCTTAGTTTGTCCTCGTTGTGCGTCCGCTTTATATGGCTGCATTTCATATTACATGTATTTCTGCTTTTTCTCAAGACCTTTATCAATTCTTAATTCTTAATACAGAAACAACAGTGACATTTTACAAATTGGTAACAGAGAATCAATTTAGTTTTATCATAAGTATATGCAGTATTGTCAGAACAATGTAAAATCAGAATCACAGATTTTTTTTTTTAACTAAGGTCATAGAGAAGACCTTTACCTTTATCTGAGACTTCCTCTTTGAAAGTAACTTAAAGTAACTAAAAATTTTAAAAATCACAATTTATCCACATCACAGCACCTTGTATACACTACCTTTCCTCTCCAGCAAGTTTCAGACTCCTGATTTTTGCTACACAGGAAGCCTTGCTTTAAAGGGGATGATGCATTAATATAGTCTATTAACCTAAAGCAGTATGCATGGTATGTTTGTTACATGTCAGGTACGCCGGTCATTGACCTTGACCATGGCACCTTAAAGTAGAACTACAGTCAGTCCCTGGACTGGCATGGCTATCACTGCGCCTACATAGTTAGGGACTAATTTCCCACTGGGATCAGCTTCATAGTCATGGTAGGACACTTATTTGATTTTATTTATTTTGCTCAGGCTACTCATAAGCCCACAGCCCGCTAAATGTTGAAAGGGCGATATTATTGCCATTACTAATGATATATACACTAGAGATTTTACACATTCAGTAATACAATGTCACAGGGGATGGAGTGGGGGCATGGTCATTTAAGAAGGGGGATTATTTTTAAGATTTTTTTAAGAAGGGGGATGCCATCCCCTTTTTTAAATAATACTACAATATTTATTTGTGGGGCAACAAAATTAGGCCAGAATAAACTGCATATAATCAGTTTTACTTGACAAGAGTCAAGACAAACACTGAGTTATAGAATTCAGTTTTCTCTAAACTGTGGGCCTGGGCATTGCAATTATTTTTGAATTTTCAATTTCTTTACAAATTACAGTTTATCAAACATAAAACAAGAACACAGGAACAATATAGTGTAATAGTATGTGTGTTTTCATTGTATTTGAAAGACAATTCATCTACCCTATAGAGGAAACCATCTTATGTTTGTTAAATGTAACCCTGGGCCTCTACAAATGTTTTGTTCGACTTTTTCCTTTATGGAAGAATAATAGGATGATCAAATATTTCTGATAAGTTTCAATATCCCCCTGAAGATGATTACTGTGTTTTTGCAGGAAATGTGAGTCAATTTTTACTCCATCAAGCTGAGAAACTACTTTTTAAAGAACGATGAGTCATTCAGAATAAACCTACAAATAGGTGCCTGTGTCATCACAGGGATCAATCTACTGGCCACAGGAAAAAGGGGACAAATAATGATAACCATTTAAGAGCATTTAAAAAAAAAATGTAGAAAAAAACATTTGTTCAACAATAAACATTCTGTACTGCCACTAAAAAAGGGGTATAGCTGAAATTTTGACTACCTTTTTCTTAAAGTATATTTTAACATAATGAGCAATTTGGCCATCAGGATCAAACTGCTAGAGAAAATCCCTGTTTTGAATACAAAATAGTGTAAAATTTTGAGATTGTTTTTCTTCATCTGTCTATCCATCTGTGCATCCATTAGTCGTCAGGGTGTACCTGTTGTCTGTCTCTAGTGGTCATTGGGGAATAGGTCGCCAATTTATTACAGAAGAACACAGTGGAACAGATGACAAAAAAGTAAAAAACAATCACACACAAACAGACACACACACTGCTTAGATGATGTAGAGAGAGACCAGTCGACCAGAGAGATAGAGACCAGTCAACTTAACAGTCATGCTTTTTGACTGTGAGAGGAACCTTAATACCCAGTTGGAATTCACACATGCATGGGGAGGACATGCAAAATCAATGAAGAAAGAATCCCAGCTGAAATTGAAACCCAGTCCCTGCAAGGCAACACTTGTGTAATAGATTTTCCCTATATTTCCAAGATGATCAGTTTTGATAAGCTTTATCAAACTCAAATGATCAGTAAAATAAGGTCTTTGTGGATGATAAAAAGCTTTAAAATTGCAGTAGAAATACAGATTTAGAGATTAAACGTTCAAGAGCTGTACAAGGTTAAGAAATTTTTTTTATTAAAAACACAGATAAGTGTCAGGTTGAGTGGAGGTTTTGGAGGACCCAGATGAAGAGACGTAAGCTGAAGTGGTTTCTTGCAGATTTAACAATTCAAAAAGGTGGCAACTGAGGCAAAATCCAAAAACAACAAAATATCTAAAACCAAAAAATAGAAGATGTCAGGGAAAACACACAAGAGGATCAAGAAACAATGACAAATCGGCACTGAGGAACTGCACAGGGAGAGTATAAGTGGGAGACCGAACAAAGACTGGGCTAATGAGCTGACAAGGAGCAGATGTGGATGGAAGCATCTAGAAGGGAGCTAGGGGAAGGAGACTGACACAAAGGGGCAACAGAGGGTAAACAAGAAATAAGTAAGAACTCAAAAAATACACAAATTCACAAATTAGAAATGAAACCAATGGGAATTAAAAAAGAAAATGAAAACAGATCCAAAACCATTAAAATTAGAGTTTACATAAATTCATATATATTAAAAAAGGTTGCTTCACTCCAACCCATACTATAACTCATAGACATTGAGCTCAGTGACTCAATGGCTCAATGACTTCAGCTAAACTGAAGGGTTGGTCTCCACAGTGGGCTCCTCAGTTGGGAACTGGTCAACTAATTATATGCATATCTATCAAGGCAAGGATCAGTCAGGGTAACCTGATTCACATATCGCTAAATTGTTTCCCTTGGGAATAATAGAGAACCTAAGTTACACAAATGTATGAAAAATTTAGCTATAAGCATGTTTCTTCTAACTGGCCTCGCCCTGCCAAGACCCTACTTGCATCTGATAGAAAATTGAGATTGAGATTATAAGAGAGGGGACATCCAAACTCAAAGACCGAAAACTTATCAAAAAGTTTAATTGTAAAAATACATGCAACCTGTGTCTTACAATTTAAAATATGTAATTACTTTATTGAAGAAAATCCTGGCCTGGGGGCTTTCTGCATGGAATTTCTATGCTCTCCCTGTACATTAATGGGGTTTTACTGGTATTCTATCTTCTGTGAAACATAGTTAATTTCGGTATTTAGTACAGATAATATTGCACATTATACAGTTTAAAATCCTTGTGTATTTTAGGAGAAACTTTCACATATTCAGTCAGGTATTCAGATAAAAAACCTGAGGATAAAAATAGTTCTAGGTGATAATGGTTTCACCCGTGATATGCTCTTTTTTAATCACCTCATATGGGTTTAGCAATAAAAATCAAGAACTTAATTTGAAAAAATATGTAATTAAAAATGCTTAAAATAAATTCTAAGAGAAGACAATTTTGTGACAATACAAGGAAATATTTAATTCCTATATGAATATGAATATATGAAATGATATAAATACAGGAACTAGAGAAATATTCAAAGGTTTTTTTCATTTGGGAAATCCCAAATTAAACAATAGGATAATATAATATTCATTCTGGATGTAATATAGAGATTAGTTTGGTAGAAATTAAAAAAGGTTTTGGATGACCTCTTGTGAGGTGGAAGAAATAAAATTCTGAAAGTAATACATGGAGATAAGCATGCAGAAGGACAGATTTGTGCATGATTTTTGCAAATTAAAACACTGCAGACCAGTCAAACTGCATAATTAGATTAGTAACTGTGCACTGAAGTTGGTGGCACAAAATAACAGGCAGCATGTCTTTCTGGTACTGCGTACAGCCCCTAAACCTTTTACTGGTTTCCAGTACCAGTAAAGGGCATGGATAAGATTTTACTTGATTCCAGTTCAAAGTAATGCAGCTATTTTGAGTAACTTCTTCTTTATGTAGAAAAATTCTAATGTGTATAAAATTAGAGCCTATTTTGCATATAAATCTAATAATTTTGAAAAATGTTGAATATTTACTTTTGTTGCAATTACCAGTTATAAAAATATTAAAAGCTTTTACACTGCTGTTTCCCTGTAGATGTAAAGAATGGGCTGACTTCCTCTTTGTCTAGTAATCCTGATGATGGAGACGGTTGCTATGTTAATGAGGTCAAACGGCAACGCTCAATGGAGATGTCCACCATGTCTACATCTACCCAGTCCATGAAGATTGACAGACCCCGCAGCAATGCATCTGGAGCCAAGCTGGAGGCCAAGAAGCGAGTCATTCGTATGCTGGTGGTCATCGTTTTTTTGTTCTTTCTCTGCTGGATGCCTCTATACTGTGTAAACACGTGGCGGGCTTTTGATAACGCCACCGCTGAAAGTACCCTCTCAGGGACACCCATTGCATTCATCCATTTGCTGAGTTACACCTCTGCTTGTGTCAACCCAATAATCTACTGCTTCATGAATACACGCTTCCGCAAGGCCCTGTTCGGCACTTTCTCCTGCTGCTTTGCTCCTTGCTGCCATCATTGCCGCCGGCGGGAACCACGTGAGAACGAGGAGGATGTTATGGCAACGGGGGCATCCATGTCCAGGTTCAGTTACACCATAGTCAGTACCATGGGAACCTGCTGAAGACAGTTACTACAGCAACATAATATCCACATCCTTTGTTTCCATGCCAGTGCTATGCGCTTAGGGAAAATCATTAGTAGAAACAGCCCATATACTGTAATGCACCAGTCTGGAAGCTTCACCTGACTGTAAGTAAAAATTACAAAGTGAAATTTAGTCAACCAGTGTAAACACCTCTATAGTCTATGAAAGTAGCACAAAAAAAGTATTTATGTAGTTTTTTTAAGAGTGAACGAAGGCAGATTTTCTAATTTTTGTGCCGGTTGTGAGTTCATATTGTTTAGACTCAGACAGGAGTAATAAGTTATAATATATAAGAGCGGGCACTCCATTGCTTATACATATTTATATAGCTAAAAAAGGAGATCAATTAAAGCTGTTTAATAGTCATTTGTGCAAATTTCTGTGTTGATGTTATTTTAATTAACTTGTGGCGTAAGTGCCTGCTTCTAAAAACGACAATGCTGCTTATGTCTAGTATTTAGCTGCCTCATTTATTACTGGCAATGTATTGTAAGGGTTTTACCTGTTGACTTAGGAAATTGTATCAAGTGTTTTTATGGGAAATGATTAAGTAGGCTCAATATTCCACTGGTGGAAAACAGAATACAGTGCAACTTTGCTGCTTCGATGATATATTATGTAAATGTTATATTGTAAATTTCTTGTGTTAAAATATGGTAAACATAGGATTTTTTAAAGTTATTATATAATTGTTATTGCTACCATGAGAAAAAAAAGAAAACCCACGTAACCCAATTTGTGCCACATTTCAATGAACATATACAATAAAAGACAATAGTGTACCTAAACCTTTTTTAGGTTTTATGCATCATGTATTTTGATTTCCGATATTAGACACAACATTGGTTATTATCCTGAAACTTGAACACAAGTCAAAATCTAACAAATCTAAACAAGCTTTAAATGTGATACTTTTGATTTCTTTGAGGTGAGGGTCTGTTTAACTCGAATTAGTTATACTTGTCTCACTGGTAGCGTATAATAAGATCTAAGTAAAGTACAGTATAGGAACTCTTGGGTTGTAAAAGGCTAACAGGTAGTTAGAGCTCTTATTTTAGTAGGTTTTAGCATCTGACATTTTTTTCCCCAACTCATCACAGCAACTAAAGCCAAGCCTCGCTCCAATTTCTAGATTGTTATGACAGAACAGAGCAGCTTAAAAACTGAAATGTCAAGCGTGGAGCATCCGGCACGTCTGACCTCAAAGTGCACAAGTATCCAAGTTGAGGCATTAGACGCATTTTTTGAAACTGAAAACTCTTATGTGATATGACTTCTTTGAGTCACAGATCCCCATTTCTAATGGGCTTGAAGCACAATATTAATTTTTACCCTTAAATCATTATTGACCAACTTTAGAGGAAACGTAACTTCCCTAATAATATGAAATCTTTATACTTTATTTCAATGAGTCAGAAATGAAGGTCTAAACAAGCCAACTTATCCAAGATAAAAATACCTGCCATACAACATGGACTTTGTGTTTAGGGATTGTTAAACTGGCTGGGGTACTTTCCCCTCCTAAAACTTACAGACAGGAGCTGTATATTATTTTATTTATTGAATTTCATCCAATGACTGCCTGTTATTTTTGTGAACAGGCCTTATATATGTGAAAAATTATTATCAGAAGTATACAGATTGAAGAAAATGTTAAATGTCAGTCTTTCCCTTTGATGAATGTATTTATTCTTTGCAGCATTATGAATGAGCTCATGACTCGCTACCATTGCTGAGCTTATCTGGGGGCTACAGAGTGGATGCCAGATTTGAGTTTTTTTTTTCCCTTTGTCACATCTTTGTTGTTTGTAAGTGACACTGGTGCCCCCAGTCTCTTAACACTAAATCTGTTTCAGCATTGGCGCTGCCAGGCCAAACAGGTGAACATATTTTACTGAATGCACAGAGGCACAGTGCTGTCAGTCTTGGAAACTAAAGACTAATGACCTGCCCAGAGTGTGGGCCTGTGTTCTGCAGCACTAGATGTTTAGTATGGCACTCATTGTGTTCAGCATCTGAATTGTTGGCTTTATCTGACTGTATGATACCAGGTGAAGTGTTTTATTATAATAGAAGAAAATACTATACATTCACCAACAAATGTATAAGGTACACCTGTCATTTGCTTGGTAATACAAATATGGTCTTTGACAATCAGATGGTAACAAATTTGTGTCAATACTATTTCCATAAACCTATGTTAAAGCTCTTATTTGCATAGCCCCACCAGAATTGGAGATTAAAGCTGCACTAACAATGTTTTCTAGTATTGCTTCCCTTTAGGACCTTGAGAAAATAGAACAGTTGTCTGAAGAGGTCAGTAGTATTTTACGTTATCTAATATAAACTGCCTTTTGTTGCAAATTGTTACTTTTATGCAAGTTAGTGAAGTGCAAGTCTCCCCCTTGAGTAAATGGTTTTCTTGTCATTCTCATAAGCTAGTTCAATGTTTTTTTATTGGCAAGATAAAAATCGATAACCTTACAATCACAATAGTAAAACTAACTATGGTTAGCCCATATAGTACTTATAAGTCCAAGAACAACCCTACCAGGTCTACAACAGTTTTGCATTCTTTTTTTTTTTCTTTTAACACTCCATTACAGAGTAAACTTAGACTTAGACAGACTTTATTGTCATTTTGCACACACAGAGTGTATACAAAAACAAAATTTCGTTCAGTACAGCTCTCAACACATTTCCATTTATAAAGTGCAACAGTGATAAAATGTGAACATAAACATAAGATTGGTATATGAAAACACTGGTATATGAAAACTGTAAAAACCTTTCCTGATTTCATACGTGTTCGAACTTCATTCATCCCCGTCTAATTCTTCCTTTCTCTTCCTCTTCTGAGAAAGGATTTTGATGTCCTATTTTGCTGGCTCTGCCATGTCATAAACCTACAAAGTAAAAAAAAAAAAAAAAGTGGCATGTGTGACTACTAATGCCACCGGTTTTATATTGGGATACTTAAAAGCTGTTTGGCATACTGTGGAAACAGAGCTGCACGACTCGCACAGAGTCTGTGGCAGAGAAGGCTGTAAGTGTAGTTTTCCAACCAAAGCCCTTAAGGGGGTGATGACAGACCTCTCGATCGTTTCACAAGCACCTAGATTACAGTCATAGGAAGAATAGAATGTAGAAGATGATATAAGATAGAAACGTTACTTAGTGCTGTTTTAACAGAGTGGTAAATTTTTTCAGAATTAACTAGCCGAAATTGTGTGCAATAATAAGGTAGTTGAACTAAGTTTTAAGCATTCAAAGTGTATTCACTCATGTAAGGTATGAATGTTTCAATATTATAGGAAATAAAATAAAGGCTGATTTTAAAGATAGAGACTACAAATGAGTGAAGGCAGATTAATGTAGTCAGTGAAACTTTGCTTCTCTGGTTGTACAGCTAGGTACCTGATTTTCTCAGGCTATAGGTGTCAATTGTGATGATAAGGGAAGTAGATTTGGTGAGGAAACTTTCTGTGCCAATGGGTTTTGCAAATAGTATACTTAGTACTGACCCGAGGGTAAACATCAGAGTCCAACCATTATGGAATTTCTAAATATGATATTGATATTGGGGCTTTAAAAAAAAAATGATGTATGATATATTGGCCAATAGATATATTTTGTCAAAAATATATTTAAAACAACCTGGAGGAGCACAGCATATGCTCTGTTTAACTGTAGCCAAATTCAAATTCTCATTTAAAAAAAACATGATTCAGACAAATAAACAGCACACTATAAGATTATAAACAACTTTCGCCTGTGCTATTTTAGCCTTTGCATCATTGCATTCTTTTTTGTGGTGCTGTTTTTAATGTTGCCTAAAATTAGTGGCTTTTATTCCCTTACTCCCTGGCTGACTTTAGCACCACACATGTTGCATCCAACACCAGTTAAATCTTTTGTGAAGTGGCTCCACATCTGACTTTTCCCCTCTGCTATTTTTAGTGTATATTGCTAATTAGATTTCACATCTACAGATGAGCATTTAAAAATGAAAACAAGTGGCTGCATACAGCTTAAAGTGAAAACACACTGGTTAATGGAAGATGTTTTGTATCAGATTCATTTTTAAGATTCAATCACAAAAACACCTCAGAAATATTAATGTGTCATGTTTACAGTCCACTTAAAAGTTCCCTCCTCGACTGAACACATGGGATTAAACTAGATTTAAGGAGCAATGCTACAGCTTTTAAAACATCCAAACAGGATTAAAACTAAATTTGGTGCCTTTTAAAAATTACTTTAATGAAAACATTAACTTCTGAATTTATGAGCCACAGTAAAAACTGTATATAGGCATGGAGTGATTTGGGACAGAATGAAATAATCTTATTTTCCTTCTAAAATCTAATATCTAATTTCTGAAAGAGGTAGCTTACCCAGAGATAAAATCTTAATGGATCCAAAACTAGCGCATATAAAACTTGTCTGCTCTCTTTAACATGTGTTTCCACAAGGACGTTTGTTATCATGGAGCACTTTAGTCTACTTTTGTATTGTTTGACAAAATCACGCCTCAAAATGAAGTAAAAAGGTTTCTTTTTCCTCTGCTTCGTTTTCCCTCCCTCTATCCACTAGTAGCTGACAGCTGACAGTGTGGTGAGATCGGTCCAAGCACAGTAACCCAGAAAACTGTTGAGTGTAAATGGCACGCAAAACTGAATCGGATCATGCCAGACTCAACTGAACCACGTTGAACTGGTACTAGTTCATCAGTAGGGCTCAGGCGCGATTTAGTTCTGGCTCGGTTCTCAGATAACAAAGTGTGCATGTGTCAGGATTTGGTTATAGGTTGAGGACCCAAAAGCAGAGGCAGGAAGACAGAGGTGAACTGTAAGTAAATTTAATGATGAATTTAAAGAGCTGAAAACAGAGGCAAGTTATCCAAAAATCCAAAAAGAAAACAAAGTCCAAACAAAACAAGAAACCCGGAGTCCAAAATTCAAAGGTCAAAATTCAAAAGCACTTGGAGAAGTGCTATTCTTCCTTTACGTTTTTAATACAAGAAAATATATAGGTATGAAATGCATTAGTTATTCAATAACACTGGGGTTCTAAAAGTCTACATTTAGATAGAGAAGGATAGAACAGACTTAATGTGAGGCATGTCTCCCTTCTTTTGAGTTTTTGTGTTTTTATCTTCAGTATAATACTGAATCTGTCAGTAGTCACTGCTGGTTTTTGGGGTAGAATGCTTTTTCTGCAAAATACCCCAATTTAACAATGTTTAAAAAATCCTTTAAAAAATCTGTACCCAGATTATGACCTGGATCATCATTAGTATTTAATGGATTATTCCTTCAAATGAGGCCCACCTCACCGTACCATGCTAAAACAGAGTAACATGTCAGCTATTGAGCACAGCTAATCCACTACCCATGTCTACCCTTTATACAATATTTTTGCATTTATTTAGTTTGCCAAAAACATACTTTTTCAGTTTTGAAATCCATCAAGTAAAACTACATTAATCATTAGACACACTTACCCTGCAGATGCTAAATATTATTATAGTTGTCCAGACCAACCACAATGCTTTACGTCATTGTGGCAATTTTCAGCAAATAATACACTGTAACGTCATCGGCAGACACAGGTCCTGAACAGATCTGACTAACCAAGCAGATGTGGTACCTACACCGGCTTCTTAGCTTTGTGGTGAGATGTAAATACAATCTAGATCAAACAAGGATAACTTACCCAATTGACAACAGAGTATACAGTTTATTTAAAATGTGACTCTGATAAATACCATAGAAACATGGTACATTTATAACTAAAATATATATAAAAAAAACATTCTTGGTCGATAAAAACTGAAAAAAGAAAAACTTCACTGCACTGTATTGGCAGGAAGGGATTGCTTTACTTTAGTCTAACATCAGGGATTAAGAAATAATAATCCGGTCTTAAATTTTCCAATTAAATCTTAGAAAAAACAATAATCAGTGCTTAACACAGAAAAGCCATATAAATCATTAAATGTTAAATAAACAGACATTTTTTCATTAATCACAGTTTTTAAACTCAGTGAACTGCACTCTGGACATAATAATGCATTCACCATCAGCATTCCCTCATTGAAGGCATACTGTATTACAGCTGTGTGGCCTGTTTTTTACGGGTCACGCTTGAAAAGTGTATTTATTTCCTGGAGAGCAGTAAGCAAGTGATTTCCCTGGGGTGTCACATTGGCTGTTATTTCTTGATACACACATAAACACAAACACACACAGCTTTGTTTTCATGATATATGGGGACATTTCATTGACTTGAATTCATTTTAAATGGCCTAACACAGAGCCTTACCCTAACCCTAATAATTTCCAACATATACCTAACTCTAAACTAAACACAATTATAGCAGAATATAGAAATGTAGCATGACAAAGCAGCCACAACAAGCAAGCATGTCTTTATTACTGCTGTTGAAAAAAGAAGAAGAACTTTGAGTCATGCTTTAACTGATGCAGCTTGGGCTTGATGCAGCTTGGGTGTTTTTCTCACCCAATTTTCATGTATATGTTCAGAAAATTACCCTAACCCTAATGTTGCTTTAATTTCAGTGATTCTAATTATTAATTTCAATTTCTCTCGATTAAGATTACTAAGTGAAAGATTTGAAAACCTTTACATTTTAAATGAGGTAGCTTCTTAGCTTTTTCTTAACAAAATATTCTGAACTACACTGCATTTTAAAGCTATAAAATTTTTACTTTCATGAATTGTGTTAATTGTGGTAATATCTCACAGGGCTCTTCTTTAACCACTGTAGGAATATAAAACCTACAAACTCTTTGAGCTAATATATTTTATTTTTATAAGGATGTATTTTATGGTCTTACTAACCTAATTCTGATTACAGCATGGTGCTAGGCTGAGTGTTGAACCAGGGAAAAAGGCAACAGAGGAAGACAAGTGATGTGCCACGGTAAGTATCCCTAGAAAAATGTGTCTACGTTCACACAGCAGACTGAGGTGACCCAAATCCGATTTTTCTGGCCCATATGTGACCTATATTTGATCTCTTCATGGCAGTCTGAACAACACAGATCCAATTTTTTCAAATGTGTCCCAGGCCACTTGGCTATGTGGTCCTGAATCCGACACGAATCAGATTTTTTCAAATGCGACCTGTGTCTGAACAGCCAGGTCGCATTCATCCAAACTGTCGCATTCATCCAACTACTCTGTGCCTTGCTACGCTGAAGTGGGAAGAAAAACAACAACCATGACGGATAATGGGAAGAGCATTCTTTTTATTAACCATCTTGAAAAGATTGAGTTTTTAAGGTTAGGAAAGATTGCTAGATGTGCTCCAGCTCTACCATCCATGTTTACTACCGTAAAGACAGGGCACGTTTGCTTGTGACGTCATTGCGTCCTCCACTGCGCATGTGGGAGAATTGCGTTGTATGAATACAGTTCTCTCAGGAGATCTTATACAGGTCGCATATATCTGGAAATGTGAACGGCAATGCAAAATAATCGGATTTCACAAAAAATTGGAATTGAGCATCAAGGCCTGCAGTGTGAACATAGCCTTTGTTTCTTTGTTGACTTCACTCCAATTCCGATCCACAAGTCATGTTTATTTTTGGGGGTTATTTTTTTCAAAGTGAAAGATGAGTGATTTTATTTATTCATTCAGGTAGTCAGTTTCATCTTTAAAAACTGATCTCTACTATAATACCATCAATGCAGAATAAAGTTAATTAATGACTGATAGATCAATGTAGCTTTAAAGGAAACGTCCAGTCAGCAAGGAATGATCAATGGATCATTATCTATACCTAAAACTAATACGTTAGTGGTGATTCAATAAATTTAGCTTTGATCAATAAAAACATTAAAAAAATTATTTTCGTTGCAATCACTGGGACCAGCCATTTTTGCCCAAATATAGTAACAACTCATACCTGACATCTTCCGGCAGTGACGTCATGGTGCGTTATGCCGAAGGGCCATTTTCCCAACTTTACAAGCAAAATCTATGGCAATTACAAGACACATCTGCAATAACATTTATTTAAGATTTCAAGAGGACTTCACCATTAAAATTTGCGAAAGCTATACTTAAAAGGACAATGCCCAATTCAAGATAACTTGGATAATAGCGCGTTGTGACAAATACCAGATACAGCATTGGGACTTGATCAACAGCCAATACCGTTAGGTGGCAGTAGTGTTCTTTGACAAACATGGTTGTCACCAGTAAAGCACAGTCAAATTAAAATTACTCTAAAATTACTCTAAAAACACTTATCATTTATTGAACAGTATGTTATCATTTCATATTTAAAGTACTTTCAGAAGTTTGAATTCTGAATATGACCTTTATATGACTTTCCCTTTAAAGTAATTTTTTTATTTGACAAAAATGAAATGAAGCAGGCATTTCTCATGCTAAAGCCTTATTTTTGACTACCGTAACTCACACACAGTTAAGCCGGGCATACACTTTCTGATTTTTTCAATCGTTGCAAGCAGCTACAGCTCACAGCTGACTATGCATGTTAAGCCCGACGCTCTGATGCAATGTGCCTGCTCACACTGTAGGTCTAAAAACAATGTTGGACTCAGCTCCGCAGGGAGATGGAGCTACTCTGACTCGTTTATCAGGAAGCCAAAAGAGTAGAAGAGGGGTATGAAGCTCACTAGAGTGAAATGCGCTGCCTTGGCAATTTGTGCAAATTTGTGCTGATAGCCCAAAAAAGAAAAGGTTACAACGTATTTGGACAAAGACATGGCTGAGCAAACATGGCTACTACGGTCTGTCAATTTTACAGAAAATTCCAAACTTCCACCATAAAACAGGTGAATCCAAACGAAGCCTCGAGTTGACGTGAACTCAGGGGTGGTGCCTTATTTGGTTTTGGCCTTTACTTTTATCACACCTCAAAATTTACATACAGACCAGCTAAATGGCACACTGGCCAAGAACATGAATAGAGGTCGCGAAGATGAAACTAGTTTAGCTGTTTAGCCTACAGTTGGGTTTACTTCTAGAAGAATTACAAAACAGGCATTTTCTCTATTGAAAATGAGAAAGGACCACGGGCGTAAATGCAGTGTTCCAGGCTGATTTTAATTTCTCACATTTTTCTATTGCAGGTGGTTTAAATGTTGATATTTAGAAGATATTTTTAAAGTAAAGAGATAACAACTGACAAATGCTCCGTCGCATCTCCCCCGATCTTATCTTTTACCCAAAATTATATTGCAGGTGTTTTTGCTGCATTATGTTGTCCTTTGATGCACTTACTCAACATTGCGGACTCTGCCCGGAGACTTTTCCATCTGTAGTAGAGGAATACTCAGAGTACTGCAGTCATCATTTGCCTTATTTGCCTCTGCCCTTCTAGCTTTTATTCAAATCCTACTTATACTTTGCCCCATAGGGCAGCTAATCTGTGTATGAGCCTAATGTTTTACAGTGGCTTGTTATGCCAATAACACAAGACTTAATATTGGAATAATTATAATAACTTTATAATTTACTTCATAACCATAGACTAGTAGACTGTGTTCCTAAACCTAATGCAATACCTATGCCCTGCCATGATGCCTGATACATTTTAATCAAATTTGTAAACCTTACCATGATCGTATGTCTCTGAACATTAAATTCATACTTTATCCTTAAACTTAATTACATATTTAATACCTTACCAAATGAGGTAAGATGCCTGCATCATTTCAAATAATAGGCAAACATCTTAGGTATATATAAAAGGTGTTACAATAACTTTGATAATTTTTATTGTAAAATTATTTTTATTAAAATAATTTACAGAAGAAAGAAAGACAAAAACTATTCTCTTAGGAAAACTGCTTTCCAGTTATAGGAAAGTGAAACATCTAAAGTACAAGTTATTTTAAATATATTTGTAAAATATCCAGTGTAATATATTAGTGCAACACAAAGAGGGTTTTAAATATCTCATGTAAAATGTGTTCACTGCCAGATATTACTTTGTTAGAGAAAATGACGTTTATTTTGTAATACTTAAGGTGATCATCAATGGACAGTTTTGTATTATTTTTGAAGGTAATACAAAATGTCCAAATCTACTATGAGAGCATGATAGGTCAGGTAGGAGTCTGGAGGAGATTTTTGGATTCAAAGAAAACAATTTGATTTTTCCCCCTCAACTTTCTTTATTTATTTGATTAAAGAACACAATTAGCCTGTCTGCATAGAGATTCCTATATTTATAAGATTCAGATATGTTTTCATTATAAATTCAGGAGGAAAGTTTTGCAAATTTTACAGATTCTTAAAATCTTCAATAATTAGTAATTAATCAATGAGTAAAAAACTTAAATGAAGGCACCTCATCACTAGGGACTGCACTCCAATTAATAATGTTTACTCAGACAATGAGCAGGCCTTCCAATGAAGGCTTTCTTTTACTTTGTTATAATACTGATCATTACACCTCTACTAATCAAATCCTGGTGAGAGGATTTGATCTATGAATATATCACTTTCTGTCTGCTAACTTTAGAGCATATACCATTTCTTAAACCGAAAACTTTGGTTTCTATGATAAATATATAAAAATACTAGGCATTTAAAGTTGATTACTTGCTCTTTAAGTGTACAAAAATTGGTCCCTTTTTGTCAAAATAAAGGTACTCGGGGGGCAATGCTGCAGATGAGAGATAGGGACACTTACACCATGTGTAGCAAAAAGGGTTGATAATTTTTTATTTAATATTTTATTAGCGATCAAATATTTCTAAGACCTGTAAATGTTGGAGTACTGTAGCAGTCCAAGCAAATTTATATTTATTAAATTTTGAATTTGTTGCCAGTGTAAGTGAAAAACAGATATAATCACTAGTATCTTATTAGAAATGTACTTTGAAATTGAAGTGAACTTAGAAGTCCAACTGTCTTTATATGGCATCCATTTACATTAGGCTATTTGTTTATAATCAATAAAATAGATTGGTATCCTAGATATGGACATACAGTATTAGATTATCAGGGGTGTGTGTTATGAGTTAGTGTCCACAGGAGGAGGTATTATTTCTGTTTCAACAACCAACGGCTTAGTTGTTTTAAATAAGTTTTTGATTAACATTTAGTTGTGGTATTGCTGTAGTTATTTTAGTTTTTTTTTGTTGTTGTTTCTATTTCCTTTTTCTAAATCTAGTAATTGTACGGTGGATAGAGTAGGAAATATGATGACCTATTTGTATTGTATCGGCAGATTGAGACAACACATGAAGTTGAGGAGTCCACCATAGGAAGAGAAACAAGAAGTTTGTTTGTCTGTTTTTATGAATGTACTGCTTAATACTGGAATCATTAAAGCTGTGCACTAAAAGAAAGAGATTTTCTCAATTTTACCAAAGATAAAGCTCTGTTTCTTTACAAAAAAGTTTTACTTTTTCTTTTTGGATTTTGAAAACTTACTTGGACAGAACCTATGTATTGTGACTGAATTGCTGGGAACTTTTCATCTTTGATTGATGTATCTTCTCTGTGTGTAGTTAAGCTAAACGAAACAATCTGTCACTCATGACTAGCTTTTGAGTTTGAATACTTTATGCTTCTCAGTTTCAGCTAAAATAATTGTAGAATTTAAACTTTTACAACACATTACAATAATTATATGTATGAATTAAAAAGACTTGTATAGACCATTAAGATATTTTCCTAACATATCAGAGAAATTGCCCACAGAGTATTTGTTTAACCAAACATTTTGTTGGTGCTGGCATCCTTTTTAATGCTTTCTCCCTATTCTTTTTAATTTAATTCTGTTACAACAGTATTTGTTGATAGTTGTAGTAGTATGCATGTGTGCACAAGTAGTTCTGCCGAGACTATATGAATAGGAATATTGCCTACTGTGAATCTATTTGTCAAGCTTGGATAGGCAGAACTGAGAGCCAAGAGCAGGCAGTCAACTCATTTGCCAAGCACTCAAAGGTGCTGCTCATGTAAATGTCAAGCTTAAACAAGTATCATTTAAGTCAACTAGGATGTTGCTTTTTATTTTGTGACATGTTTTTTTTTATTATTTTGTATTGATTGTAGAATTAAGAGCCTGGATCATGTTGAGAAGCAATTCTTTGTACTACATGAAAGCTTAAGTCAAAGGAAAAATCAAAGTATGGTGTTTTGGCTGTATAATGCAATGTTTGCTCAGGCAACAACTTCTTTGATAAAATCAAGGGGTTGGAGTAAAAAAAAAATCTATTTGCCTTGAGTCAGGATGAATATTTTCAGCAAAAATTATTTTTGTTGTGCACTAGGGTACTCATTGCACCCTAATGCACATTTGCTTGTAATTAAAACTGAAAGAGTTCCTGTGTAAATTTGGCTTTTGGTGCTCCATGTGGTTATTGTAAAAAAAAAAAAAAAAACACAACCACTGTATGCAGTGTTTCAATTAGCCACAAACAAAGCATAAAATTCATAGAGTTAAGATTAGGTGTTGTGTTTAGTTATGTCCAGTGGATTAATTGCAGCAGTTGAGTGTTGTAATTGTTAGTACATCAATCTCATCAATTGAAATGTCATGGTGTGAAGAAACCATTTTGAAGATTTAAGTCTTTGTCATTTTTACAGTTTGTGGTCTCCAAGGCAGAAGAAGAAGAAAAAAAACGATCTAGAATTAGTGCAGCCATCTTGCTGTCAAACGTCACCAAATTCTAAATAGTTTTTATAAGTCCCTGCCTACCCATTCATCTGTACGGTACATTAATAGCATTTATAATGATTTGTACTAAATGTTTATGTTTAATACAGACTGATACATTGTATATGGGCTTTGGTAGTTATATTTTGTGGGGAAAAAATGAATTGATTTTGTGTTTTTGTGAGTGCCACATCTCCATGAAGTCTGGTCTGTCAGGTCATGAATTGAATGTGAACAGTTAGGGAATTATTTCAGGTCCTGTTTAGGTTTACCCGGAGGCTCACTGTTGCCAGGCCACCATTGCCTTAAGGTGTAATGAGTGTACAGTCTTATTATGTCTGAGTAAATGTTTTCATAAAACGTCTTTATATAATCAACTGTGTATATGTCTGACAGAAAGGACATGTCAGAATAATTGATCTGCTTCATATTCTGTCATATGATTGCCCTCCAGATATTTGTGTATACCAAATCAAAGATCTTTATTTAAAAATGTGCTGTTTCACCCCCAGTAGAAAGTCCTAAGCGTTGTTTTAAAATAATTAAACCTTGTGGTTTAAAAATAATTGTATGTTTTTGGGAATGTTCAAAAATTGTTTAAATAAAATGTCTTTGCTGCTAACTTTGCATAGCTTTTGGTAATATCTTGCCATTTTCTTTTCTCTAAGACTGACTCCAGATGGCACAGGTTGGACAGGGGGCTTCTGTCATTAGTAGTATGACTTTGGAAGAACTAGCTTTCAGTAGGAGGCCCTTCTAGCTTATATTTATACACTACTGTTTCAGAGACATAAAAGGTTTATCTGCCAGTCAGACTTCTGCTATATACATAAGTGTTTACAGTTCCCGTTTAGTCCTCAATAGTTCTTTCTCTGAATAAATGTTTACATGTATGCATACTGTACCAAAATATTCAGCAGGGCACCTACAGTTTTGTGTAATATCTTGTTTGTGCTATGTAATGTAGAGTAATAAAGCATGGCTATTAAAAAAAACTGTTATTTTGTGTGTTCATTTAATTTAGCATTTTTTAATAACAAAAAGAACTATAATTGTTAGCTCTTTTGAGTTTTAAAAATACTCAAGCAGTGGCGGCTGTCCAACCAGCTCAATCACCTTGATTAAGACATAAAACTAATTAAAAGGAAATTATAAAATTTACTTTTTATAATTGATGGTTGCCCATTGACTCTTGTTACAATTTGTACATGCGCTGTAGCTCCTCTGAAATACAGAACTATAGGAGAGCTCTGTGTGCTCCAAAGCTACACACTGAGGTGACAGGAACTGTCATCAAAGTTGTTGTGTGGGTGATTGACAGGCTGAGTCGCGGGAAAGAAGCAAACTTACGAAGAGAAGCTGGAGGTAAAACCGGTTGGATCAGCAGTCCGAAGAGGCGCTACACTCTGTCTTTTTCCAGGACCTGGTTTAGCTACAAGGCTTGGCTAACTGCAAACAGCGAGGCTAACGCTTTATTCTGCTTCCTCGGATGCCTGCCTCCTTTTTCAAATGTAAGGATCTAAGCCAGCATAGATAAAGAAAGGTAGGACTGAGTTAAAGCACTTTTTTTTAAAAAGGCAAAGAGGAATGAACAATCTGGATTAACATGGAAAATAATATAATATAGTGTACTTTTTCTAGATGTTTGTTAATTTGCATAGTTTCTCTTAAATAATTAGTAAATTAATAATTATTTATTTTCTCTAGGAAAACAAGAAATATAAAGCTGACTAATAGCTTCTACATTTTAAAACTGGTACATAATTTTTTTTAGGTATGTGACATCATATTGGACAATGCAATACACAGTTTTGCCTTCACAAAGCCAAAACCAAAAAAGACCTTAAAATGAGTGAACTTAATAAGCACTTAATAAGATGATTTGGCAATGGAATTAGTATCTTTACTCTTAAAATAAGATAATTACAGTAGATAATATGCACTTCAAATAAGACAATATAATTGTTTATACAAATTTTAAATGTAAATTGTCTTGTTCCATTGGCAAAGTGTCTCACTTCCCTCCTTATTTCAAGAAAAAAAATGCAGTTATTTTAAGAAAAAAATGACTTTTTGAGATTTTAATAAATAAAAAAAAGATAAATAAAATAAACCTGTAAGTGAAATAATTTTTGTTTTGATAATGTTTTTTGTTGTTGACATTCATATAAATATACTGGTGTGATAACATATGTGTTTAATTTTTTTTTTGGTATACGTCCATTTTCACTTTATAGACCCACTGGAGAAAACTCCACCAGCCACTACTGTACAAGAGACACCATCTTGCTGCATAAAACTGACAAATTGATAGAGTCATACATTATATGAGCCATCCCTTTCTCTTTGAAAATGTACCTTCAAGTTTAAAGTACAAATCTCTGCTAAAACTTTAGATAGTAAAATACAGAGGCATGAGTCATCCTCTTGCCTACTTGAATGAACTTAATGGACTAAAAGACTTATTAGTTGCTAAGCTACCCTTTACATTTGCTGCACAAGGCTCCTCTAACACAAATAAAGCCTTAGATAAAATATCACAGTAACTGCTTTCCCATAACACAACATAAGACATGTAAATCTCCCATTAAACATTTTTGTTTGATAGTTTGATTAAAGGTTTCTGTATGTGTTTTTTGAGTTAAGTTAAGATCCTGTTTTTACATTTTTACTGTAGTGCAACATTTTAATAACAACTTCATTTTTTATTGTTATACCTTAATAGAAGATTACACAATTGAGGTATCCAAGTGTGTGATGACCATTATCTAAAACAGTTTTAATTTCAAATGTTTTGTCTGTATTTTTGTCCTTACTTAAAATGTGCAACTTCATTATAAAACATTTTTAAAAAAGCATGGTGCAATATACATATGCTTACACTGGTAACATTTAGATAAACATTAAGACCCTGTCACATAAATTTAAAAAGACCTAAAAGCAAACTTAAATCAAAAGCTGTACAAAATCACTTCAAAGTCCTGTCCCCAATGATGTGAACCAAGGATTAACACATGAATTGTGACAAAGTTTGAGGCAATCATACTGATTGCTGTTAACATATTGTGGAACTCATGCATAATGCTTTGGGATGGATGCATTGGCATTACTGCAAGGCATTCTAAATGGGAGAATTAGGGAGGAATGCATTTCTGTTAACACCAAGATCTATAGGAAGTCTAATGCTCCATAGAGCATTGCTCTTGGATGTATGTGCTGATGTTTGTCCAGTATTGGAGAGATTCCTGCCAGAGGTTATTCATGCATCTCCAAAAAATATTAGGAAATATAAAATAAGCTGATGTAGCTGAAATGGATAAATTTTTGGCCTATATTACAAACGATAGATTCCACAGGATACTGGTTATCCAGATTTGTAGTCTTTTCCCTTTTTTTTTTGACACTTTAGACCCTGTCTATCTGATCTTACCAGAGCCACATGTTTTACACTTCATCAAGTATAGACGTAAGATATAGCACCCAATGTTTGACGCAATACTGTCTGCCACCCTAGATGGCATATTCCATTATAATGTTTACACTCTTGTAAAAGTAAAACCTTGCTGAAATAAAAAAAAAAAATGATGTGCACATATTACCTCTAAAATATTTGACTTCACAGAATCTGAATTTAATCACTTGTTATGACCTGATTATTTTATGTTGATGTAAACACTAATACTGCTCTTCACCAACTTAAAATCTTTACCCTGTTCAAATAATTTTCTGGACATTTCAGTTGATGAACCAAACTAATATACTGAAATTGAACCCACCTAATGTACTTACTTTTTTACTAAGTTTACATTAATTAATGTTTGTATTGACATCAATGAGCTGCTCAGTGGCGCAGTGGATAGCACTGCTACCTTGCAGCAAGAAAATCTGGGTTCCATTCATGGCTCTTTCTGCATGGAGTTTGCATGTTCTCCCTGAGCATGCATGGGATCACTCCAGGTACTCCGGCTTCCTCCCACAATGACTGTTAGGTTCATTGGTTTCTTTAAATTCTCCTTAGGTGTGAGTGTGTGTTTGAATGGTCATTTGTGCTGTTTGTCTCTGTGCTGCCCTGCGATGCACTGCTGACCTGTCCAGGGTTGTACCCCACCTCTCGCCCATAGACAGCTGGAGATAGGCACCAGCACCCCTCGCGACCCCAGTAGGGATAAGGGAGACAGAAAATCGATGAATGCAAGCATACAGTAAATGGACACCAGTTCATTATTTTATAACCAAATTATACTTTTCACATTTCAAAAATGATTTCTATTGCCATATTACAAACTCCATTAAGAAACGCCTGAACAACACCACAACAGCCCTCCTGCTCTTTATAACATAACACTGGAGGCTCCCGCTGCCAGTGACGGCCAGGTATCCAGCCTTTAACTCCAACAAAACTCCACACTGTACCTTCAAGGAATGTTTGTTTAGCTCTGGATTTAACAATCTTTTTCTCTAAGTTTTCAGTTTCACGTTTATCCATATTTTCTTTGTTTTCTAGCTTTATTGGTGAGTTCTGGATTTATTTAATTTTCTTAGGTTTTTCTTTCCTTGTCCTCTGTTGCCCCTTTGTGTTTTCTTTTCCCTTGGCCTCCTCGTCAGCTCTAATCACATCTGCTCCTTAGCAGCTCGTTAGTCCTGCCTTTGTTCAGTCAGCCATAAATACACTCCCTCTGCAGTCCCTGAGTGCTGGTTCCTCGTCTTACTTTGTCTCACCCTGGCTCTTTGTGATTGTTTTCCCCTGATGTCTACATGGTTCTGGTTTGTGTTACATTTTTATGTTGGATTTTTGGATACCTGTTTTTGTTTAACATTTTGAAGTCGGATTTTTTGATTCCTGTTTTTGCTACCTATGTTATCCAATTAAATCTTCAAAGAACTCACCCCTGCCTCTCAGCCTCTGAGACTCATTTGGGTCCTTACAATAACCTCCAACCAAATCGTGACACTGGATGTAGCCCGGTTGAACGAGCGAGGGCTTTCTGCTAGCCAATGGTAGCGATTCATTGTCATAACGTTATTGGTAAATGTGTAAACCCTCTCCGACGTCAGCTAGCTAATATAAACTAGTTAACAGCCAGCTAAAACATTGATTATTTGCAACTGCTTTCTTACTTGCTGTGATTATCGGTGAAATCCACCCAGGATGTAGAGATGACGAAAATAGCGGTCTCTAATGGTCTGGGACTTGATCACATGCTCTGACTGCATGCAAAGCGAAACTCACATTTGACTCAAACAAAAAAAAATTACCTGCAGGTCATGAATAAATATAAACATATTGAGAGAAATCAAAAACTTAGTTTAGGGTCCTTTGTACATGTATTTAGTTCAGGTTAAGTCAAACTTGATGTCTCAAAATCCAAAAAAGAATGAGTTACACAATCAAATCAATAACTTAACAGCTACATGTTACACGTTTTTCAGTGCAGAAGAAACATTTATTCTTTGCTGTTCTCACATCAACTGGAACTGCATCACTAGCTTAAAAATGCAAAACTATTTTGCTGCTTTCAAAGAAAAATACTGACTTTTGTGAAACACAAACAACAGCAAAAAATTCACAAGCTGGAACAACCACAGAAATAAAGCTCTATCGATTGCGGAATAATAATGAAGTGTTTGATCACTGTCAAATAGCTTTTTCTTTAAGTGATCACACCCCTGACAGCGTTCGGACAATACTTTATCCTCAATCTAGCAACATATCATTTGTCTGCATACAGAACACAGATGTTAATCTAAATAGAATGTTTTCCTGGAACTTTTAAAATACTATAATTGCTAAAATACATATACTTTTACTCTCCAGCACATTGAAAATACTGTAGGGCTTTTATAGTTATTGTTTACAAATCCCATGCGTAACTACTTTAGCAAAAAAAAAAAAATATGAGAAAAATATAAGAGGAACAGTTAAATGTATTTGCTGTCCCTGTTTTTGAGATAAATGATGTCAAAATCAGGCA